GACCACTTCTCCTCTAGTCTGAGGCCCAAATATGGAGAATTATGTAATGTAAAGCAGACACTTAGAATTCCTGAGATACACACATGAAGATCCAGAAATGAGAACTGAGTTTTGCATCTGGAAATTCTAGTCCAGGAAAAATGAAAAAGGTCCTGGACAATACAAATGACAAATAGAAGAAGCAATAATGTTTTATAAATATTCTGATATTCATATATTCTCAGTTCCATTGCAGCTCTGATTTATGCTAAGGCCAAAATTTCATGCCCCATAGGAGAAAAGAAGTCTAAAAAAACAAACTACATACTGATCATTTTTCTTATGAAAATAAAATGTTACCCTCTGTCACTGCAACATATATGCCAAATACAGAAGGATCCCTAGTGTAATATCTTCTAACAACATGCAAAGCAATTCACTGTAGGCTTATACAGCATATTATAATATATTAAAGACAACTAAACAGTTCTTCTCAACATAAAAGTAACTCAAGATTTTGCTTCCATGAAAAGCAATTTTCTTACCTTTTTTTCACCTGAACAGACTAATTTACCCACTAGTCCACGTTAAAAAAAAATGTTTTTAAGTTTAAAAACTAGCAATGTCATCTTGTCTCTTCCCCAATATTTATTTGAAAAAAGAGCACTAAAATTGGATTCTGTTCGAGAGAAGCACTGCTTCTTTCATTTTGCAGTTTGGGTGAATCCCAATATATAATAGGAAAAAAAAACAGAGTGTGCCAGAAAGTACTCTAGTGGGAATAATTACTGAATATGTCACATATTAAGATAGTCAAAATAAAGGTGAAAGTAATTATTTATCCATTTCTAGTTCATGTTGACAGTTATAGAATGATTTAAGTGTCTCAGGAAACTACAGTTAATGATTTGTGTCATGTTAAGACACAGGTCAATCAGTGGTTCCTCAAAATTAACTGTAATGTTTGATAATTATGAGCACAAGTGAGGGAGAAATTCTTCAAAATATTATCATAAAGCACAGCAAAACAAATCTTTAGTTTTCATCAAAAGTAACTTGGCACAGTGGTCCTGCCTCATTAATGAGGGATACATTCCAAGACCCTTAGTGGGTGGGTACCTGAAACAAGTGATGGTATCAAATCCCATATATACCATGTATTTTCATATACATAGATACCTATGATAAAGTTTAACTTATAAAGTAGGCATAGTAAGAAATTAATAGCAATAATAATAATAACAAAGCAATTATACTGTTAATAAAATTTGTATAAACATGTACTTGCTTCTGCTCTCCCTGTCTCACATAAAAAAAAAATATCTTATTGTACTGGGTCCATCCTTCTTGTGGTAATGTGAGATGATACCATCTCTACCTGGTAAGATGAAGGGAGATGAATAATGTAAGCACTGTGATGAAGGGCTAGGCTATAAAGGACCTGACAATATGTCAGAAGAGGATCATCAAGCCATGACAGTGCCTGTTGACCCTGGGTAACTATAACCATGGAAAGTGGAACTGTGGATAAGGGGGAACACTACTGTGCTCCATTACCAAACTTCTGTTAAAAAATGAAATGTCAGCATTGACAAAAATAATAACTCAATTATTTACAGCCTTGCTATTCAACATGTGACCCAGAGCACCAGATCCTAGAGAACTTGTTTAAATACAGATTACGGATTCCCATATCCAGAAATACAGACTAGACATAATTTTACTCCACCTTGCAATTCCTCCCACAAAGTACGACTATAAATCGTGGATGTTATCTGCACAACAAACATGAGAAGGCTCTGAAGGCAAGCTGGCTAGAGACCTCAGGATCCATCTAGACATCAAAGATTTGAAGTTAGGGAAAAGTTAGCTATTCAGAAATATCAACAGGCAGATAAGGGGTGAGGGAGTAGCTCCAACAAAAGCATCTTCTTTCTTGAGTCAAGATACCCGGAGAAGGTCAGCCGGGGAAGATAGAAAAGTTTTAGATAATAAACCTCAGACAAATAGAAAAACTATAGTCCAGCCACATCTACACCAGCCCAGGCCAAGTGAAGAGCCTAGACTTCTACTTTCTCAAGGTTGTAAAGAGTATCCTAACATCCTAACCAGTGCGTAAGAAAGCCAAGTAAGGACCTGGCTGTTTCATCCCTGCCAGTTAGTCACCAGACCACCCTAGTCCACTGTATTATTGAGAGGATCACACAGAAAGCCAAAACTCTCACCCCCTGCCCATGAGTAATAAGAGATCCTCTCCCTATACCTGAGGTGGTATTATAGAAGACAGGAGTAGAGAGAACTATCACTATTGCCCAGTAATAAGTATAACATCACCAGAGGTCATCCTCAACATGAGGTTAGTGGTGACGAGGTGAGCCAGAATTCCCACTCCTACCCAGCAGTAGTGAGAAGCCTTGTCCTCAGATATAAAGAATTGAGAAATAAAAGCCAAGTGAGTCTCTTACTCCTTCCAAGAGTAACAAAGCAGACTTCTCCCTGCATAAATTTTCCAGATCTCCCAGGACATATACCAAGATAGTACATATTCTGGTCCATTAAAATCTCAAGAAATTTAAAATAATTGAAATTGAACTGATAGTGTTCTCTGACTAAAATAACATCAGACTAAAATAATAGGAATATCCTCCAAACACTAAGAAACTAAAATATATAATTTAAAGAACCCATAAGTCAAAGAGGAAATCTCAAGGGAAGTAAAGAAAAACACACTGAAGGAAAATACTAATGTATCAAAATTTATGGGACATAAAATAGTATAGAGAGGAAAATTTATAGAATGAAATGAATACATTAGAAAGGAGAAAAAGTCTTACAACAATAAGCTAAGCTCCCACCTGACGAACTCAGAAAAACAAGAGCAAAATAAATCCCAAGCAAATAGAAGAAAGTAAATAACAAAGAGATGAAGTGAACTGAAAAAAGCAAAACAATAGAATAAATCGATAAAATGAATAGCCCTATAACTATTAAGAACTTTTTTACTTAAAAATCCTCACAAAGGAATCTCTAGAACCCAACTGGTTTTATGAGACAATTCTGCCAAATAGTTAAAGAAAAATTAACACCAACTTCATACAATCTCTTCCAGAAAACAGAGAAAGAAGAAATACCTACCAATTCACTTTATGAAGCTATTATTACTCTGATACTAAAACCAGATGAAGAAAACAGAAGAACAAAAAAAGAAAGAACTACACAACAATATCTTTCATGAATATTGATGCAAAATACCTTAACGAAATATCACCAACAAGATTTAACATTATAGGCTGGGGTTGTGGCTATAATGGTGGAGCGCTTACCTAGCATGTATTGAGGCACTAGGTTTGATTCTCAGCAAAATGTAAAAATAAATAAAAAAAGAGTCATAACAAAGTAACCCAATGGGGTTCATTCCATGTGAGGCTGGTTCTATATTCCAAAATATATCAATGTAATTGATGATCGCCTTGACAGGATAAAAAAAATGGACATGTGGTCATGTCAACTGATACAGAAAATTCAACACCCACTTATAATTTTTAAAATGTTCAGAAAAAATAGGAAGAGAGTAACTTCTTCAATTTGATAGTTATTTTCAGAAGAACCTATAGATAACATTATAATATTATCTCACACTTTCCTCCTGTAATTGGGAACAAGAAAAAAAAAAGTCTGCTCTTAACACTTTTATTCAATATAGTAGAAGAAGAGAAAATAAATGCATCCAAATTGGAAAGGAAGAAATAAGACTTTCCCTATTTCTAGATGATATGGTTGATGTAGAAAATCATATGTCACACTGAATATATTTTCTCTAAGATTAGCAATAACACAGGGATTCCCATTCTCATTTTGCTTTCAAAATTCTTAGGGATCCTAACCAAGATAATGAGATAAGAAAAGTGAAGGTACTCATGTTGGATAGTAAGAAGAAAAAATTCTCTTTATTCCCAGATAACCTGATAGTCCATATTGAAAATATATATGTGGAAACTAAAAATCCATAGTATACAAAAAATATGTAAATCATATACCTAAAATTGATTATTTTCAGGGTCTAAGTTATACCTCACCAAATCTGATTTTTAAAAATTCTATATCTAAACTACCTAATATCTCAGGCTTAGTTAAAGCAGTATCAGTTGATTAATCATATAATAAATGGTTTAGCTGAATTTCTGTTCATGGAAAACTCTTTAATCCCATTTATTTCTCTTCTTCCAAATGGCTAATAGCTCCTCACTGATGAATTTCAGGAAGTGCACTCTTGATTTGTCCCAAGGGTAGACAAATCTGCCCTGACGTCACATAAAGAACAAATCCATTGCTAACAGTGGTCCTCAAAAAGGTGTACACTGCTTCCAGTGCCCATCCTCAATGAAAAATAATGTTAACAATTTGGATAAAAGTAGAGGAGAAAAACTTAAGTAGTCCAAACTTTCATTACAATAGCATTTATTTGATATATTTATTTGCTACATTTATTCTAAATAACCCTGGTTTCCCCACCAATACCAACTAACCTACTCCAGTCCTATATTGTCCTTTATTTATGTATAAAAGAGGAAAGCAAAATAACAACAAATGAAAAATCTAACACTAACATACAGCATATTACATATTAGGGTATAATCCTAGTTTCTCTTTTGTGTGGAATTCTTGCAGTGATGTCCTGAAATCTATTACCTTTTTTCTATTAAAATATATTTTTATATCATTTATAAAACTACTTTTACCTTTTTAAAACTTGGGAGACTGATCCTCTATGTTTTACCCAAATATTCCCTGGGTAGAGCAGGCTTGAAGTGAGGAACAAAAAGACAGATGAGTGTGTCTGAATCTCATTAAGGCACAGATGGAATTACATTTCACTCACTGCATTTGCTTTTCATTCCTAAACCAAACCAGAGATGAAGCCAGTAAAACTCATTTCTATTGAATTCCTATACTCACCTTAGCAGAAATGGGATGGCCCCCCAACCTACTAATAAAATGCAGTGTCCATCTTTTTCATGTAGGAGTAACTAGACACTCCACCTGGATGGTGAAGATAGGCACCTGGCAGGAAAGGTGCAGAGTGGAGTGAAGGTTGCTGCTACATCGGGATTACAGACTGCCTTAAAGGTGAGTACCTAAAAGATACTCAAAGAATAAGGCAAAGGTCAAACCTGCTCTAGATATAACTGGTGATCGCCTTGACAGGACAAAAAATGGACATGTGGTCATATTGTTGACAACTGAATTCCAGTCTAAACTATAAAAGTTTCCACTAAACTATAAAAAAAAATTGGTATAGTATGGATTTTTAGTTTCCACTTATATATTCTCTATATGGACTATCAGGTTATCTGGGAATAAAGAGAATTTTTTCTTCTTACTATCCAACATGAGTACCTTTCACTTTTCTTATCTCATTATCTTGGTTAGGATCCCTAAGAATTTTGAAAGCAAGATGAGAATGGGAATCCCTGTGTTATTGCTAATCTTAGAGAAAATATATTCAGTGTGACATATGATTTTCTACATCAACCATATCATCTAGAAATAGGGAAAGTCTTATTTCTTCCTTTCCAATCTGGATGCATTTATTTTCTTGGGAATAAATTCCTAAAAGTACAAGGACCAAAAAATTAAATGCTAGATTATATGTGCCACTCCCTTTCAGTTGTTTATCTTTTTTTCCCTCTGTTTTTCACATTACAAAAATCAAAGAACTAAGTATCTGCATCTGCATGGGATTGGTGTATTCAAACCTTCTTGGAAATACTATGAGAGCAGTAAGTTATATTAAAAGGGTTAAAAAGATAAATGCAACATGTTATGCTTCTGTTATCTCTGCAGCCACCAGGTTTTCATTAAGCATTAGGCATGTATGTGGCTTTGTGATTATTTTCATGACAACAAACATTAAAACAAGGGAACAGATCTGTAGTTTGAGGAAATGTAATGTTTCAAAATTTATCTACATATTCCAGTATACTGGTTTTGCATATTTGTTTCCAATTCAAGAGGTTTCTTGAAACCTCTACAAAAATGTTAAACTTAGTGATTTGTTCACAAAGAGTGTGAGTGGAAATTTTTATAGTTTAGACTGGAATTCAGTTGTCAAGTAGTGATTTCAGATCTGATATAAATATTTTAGAGCTTTAGCAAATACGGAAAATAATAAATGACACTTATGCCTCTTCTATTATAAGATAGAAATATCTTTGTATTATCTTGAAATAACTTTGTATTATCTTGAAGCCTTAATAATTTGTCTTCTAGTTTAACAGGTTGGTTTTTTAAAGATCATTGGAAAGTTCTGTTCATAATAAAATCATTCAAGAAATGTATTTCAGACTGCAGATGTAGCTCCAGGCTGGAGCACTTGCCCAGCATGTGTGAGGCACTGGGTTCAATCCCCTGTACTGCCTGAATGAACAAATTTCTACCAGTCCTCTTACTTTCCAGCGTCTCATTTATTAAGTTATCTCAAATTCCAACCTCTAATTTCTTTCTTGAGGTATATTTGCTGATCCTAATCATCCTTCTTTTGGAATACCTTATACATTTAAAAACAGAAAGAATAACTGCTATGGTCTGAATGTTTATGTCCTCTCCAAATTCTTAATTCACATGCTGAAATCTATCCCCCAAGGTGACAGAAATAAAATATGAGATCTTTGAGAGGTATTAGGTTACTAGGACCCTGCACTCATGAATGGGATTAGTGCCCATATCAATGAGGACTGAGGGAGCCTGCTTGTCCGTCTGCCATGGAGAATACAATAAGAAAGTGCAACCTTTCAGGCAGAGAGGAACCCTCTTCAAGACACCAAACTTGCCGATGCCTTAATTTGAGATTTCTAAGCCTTCAAAACTGTGAACTATAAATTTTTGTTGCTTATAAATTATCTAGTCTAAGGTACTTTGTTATGGCAGCTGTAACAAACTAAGTATGTTCTTTCATGCAAGCACTACATACATACACACACACACACACACACACACACACACACACACATACACACACACACATTATTTTAGTTAAGCCAGATCAAAATCATCTATATCAAATATTATTCCTATTTTATAAATGATAAATCTGTGGCATACATAAATCAATTAAAATGTCCAATTTAACCATGTTACTAGATGGCACCGCCAGGCTTTATCCAGTTCTAATTGAATAAAATACCAAAGTATTTTCATTATTATGGTAACTAATGAGACCACCCTGTGATTGTTAAACTATCATGTTCAGATATTTATATACTTATATCTCTACTCAGTCCAATACAGAATGGTTCATCTGGCTCCTACTTAAAAATTAAAATCTTTGAATCACAGGTTCTATGTCTATTTCACAAAGACAACTGACAGTCTAATTGTCCATAGGTTCTCAGAAGCAAAAGCCTCCAATGCTAATAATGCAAAAAAAAGTTGGACATATTATATACTTTAGGGTACTTCAAGAGATCCAAAATCCAGAAAATTAAAATATTCAAACATGCAGGTTTCTGTTATCAAAATGTTGATTCAAACACAGAAGAAAAAAAATGTCTTTAAGACAGACTGCATTATCAGATGGAAGAAAGAAAGGAAGAACTATAAGTATCTATTACTTAGTTCAGGGCAAAAATTCAGGCATGCAAGGGTCAGTACACTACTTATAATTGGGGGGCTCTGTTAGACAGACTACTCTACCTCCATTCTCTGAGGCTTTTCTCTCATGTGCTATATCACATCCTTAGCGCCTCTCTAGTGCCATTAGCTTCAAAAGGTGGGAGGACCACACAGAGCCTTGCAAATAACATACTCAATAAACTATCTATTTTTGATGTGATTTAATGAAAACTATGCCTAACTTTATCTGAATTTTAAATTGTTACTTTAAGGAAGACCACATCTGTATTCACCACTTTTATTTTATAAGAAAAAAAAAAAAGATACTAAAAGTCTGAAAATTTCCCAGAGCTGCAAAAGGAGAAGCAGAGTATTCAGATACTATTATAGAGAATTTATGGTTTTCAAAAAAAGGCATATTTACCTACCATGTTCATAGATAAGTAGAATTAACATCATCAAAATGGTCACATTACCAAAAACAAACTACAGATTCAATGTAGTCTCCATCAAAATACCTATAACATTCTATACAGAACTAGAATAAATAGTCCTAAAATTTATATGAAAGAATAAAAAACCCACCGTAGCCTTTAAAGTAATACTGTGTAAGAAGAACAAGGCTGGAGGTACGATACCTGATTTCAAACTATACTACAAATAAGAGTAACAAAAACAGCATAGTTGGCTTTAAAAATAAATATAAAGACCAAACTAGAAGACAGAGACGAATCAACATAAATACAGTCATCTGATCCTAGAAAAAGTTGTCAAGTATCAAGTTGGAAAAAAAAGCCTTTTTAACAAATCATGCTGGGAAAATTGGATATCTATATACAGAAGAATATAAGTAGATCCTTACCTTTCACCCTACACAAAAGTCAAAGTAGACCAAAGACCTAGAAATTAGACCAGAAACAGTGAAACTGCTAGAAGAAAACATAGGGGCAATATTCCAACACATTGGTGAAGGCACTGACTCTTAAAGATCAAGGAACAAAACCAAGAATCAGTAAGTGGGAGAGCATTAAATTAAAAAGCTTCTGCCCAGTGAAGGAAACAATAGCCTGAAGAAAGCCCACAAAGTAAGGAAAATTCTTTGCCAGGCACTCTGCCCACAGAGGATTAATAACCTGAATATATAAAGAACTCAGAGAACACCAAAAAAATTGAATAACCCACTTAACAAATGGAAAAGAGACGTTTATCAAAATAAGAAATACAAAGGGTGAACATATATATATATTGACCCTTTGTATTTATATATAGCGCTCAACATCTTTAGTGAAATCCCAGGGAGATGCAAATCAAAACACACTGAGATTTCATCTCATGCCAGTGAGAACGGCACTCAGCAAAAATACAAATAACAACAATTGCAGGCAAGGATGTGGTGGGGGGGGCGGGGAAGATACGCTAATACATGGTTGGTGGGACTACAAAGTAGTACAACCACTTTGGAAAGCAGTATGGAGATTCCTCAAATGATTGGGAATGGAACCACTATATGACCCAGCTATTTATCCAAAAGATCTAAAATCAACATACTTTAGTGATTCAGGTACATCTAGTTTATACCAGCACAATTCTAGGTACTCATCAAAAAACAAATGGATAAAGAAAATGTGGTCTGTATACACAATGGAGTTCTACTCATCCATAAATAAGAATGAAATTATGTCACTTTCTGGTAACTGGCTGGAACTAGAGAACATCATGCTTAAATGAAATAAGCCATACTCAAAGTCAAGGATCAAATGTTTTCTCTCAAGTAGAAGCTAGAGAGAAAAAAGAAATAAAAAGTAGGATCTTCTAAACATAGAAAAGAGAGCAGCAGAGTATAAGCAAGGAGCCAAGGAGGGGGGACAAAGGGAAGAACTGAGGAATATAGTTGACTAAATGACTCCAGGTATGTGTATGATTCCATCATGATACATTCAAATTTATATATAACTATAATGCACCAATAAATAGAAGAACAACAGAGTAAAGGAAAAGGATCAAGGGAAGGAAGAGAAGCAGACAGTACTAGGAATTGAAGTGGAGGAGCTATGTTATATGCATTTATGAATGTCAAAATTAACCACACTCTTATGTATAACTACAATGCACTAAAAATAAAAACAATCTTAAAAAGTCTATTAACTAAGATAATTGTACTTTTTAACAGGAAGCATGTCTCATTGTGAATATGCATATTAATTATATTGGCTTGATGATGTTTAGAAAAATAAGCAGTTAGAAGACAATGAGAGAAGAAAACAAAGCTAACATACACTTTTTTTTCCAAGATGAAAAAGAATGTGTGGGCTAAAATAGGTCTTTAAAATTTTGCAGCAAGTAATCTCAACCCAGAGAGAATCAATGACCTTCTAAAGAGGTAGCTTGGAGCTAAGAACAACTCGCTAGACAAGAGTACAAGAAAGTCACAGGATCAATCAGCAAAATGAAATGTGAATAGCTACAATCAAGTAAGATAGATGGTCATCTCTATCCTCCCACCCAACACTCCTAGG